CCTATGGAAATCTATGAGTGATCTCACTCCTCTCTGCCTGGTGGTAGTAATACCTGCAGTTTGGATCTTACAGTACCACCAGAATTTGTTGACTCATGTTAAGAAAATGGTTTTGAGGATATTTCTCCATGACACTGTATCCTACAGCCGAATTACACATGAACTTCTTGTTTGCTTATTTTGAAATGAACTGAAATAATTCATAAAAAATGATTACACATGAACTTCTTGTTCGCTTATTGTGAAATGAACTGAAATAATTCATAAAAAGTGACAAAACTTACCATGTACATGTCTAGAACCTAGCAGTTTTTCCCAGCTACACTGAGATTTTCATCAGAAGTTCACACAACCACTGCTTGCACACCTCTTCAGTATATACAACAAATATTTAATTTGCTGTTGTAAACTGGCCATTATCAGCTTTGTCTGTCTGCTCTCATGCTCACCACCTTCTACTCTGTTGTTTCTGTAGAGCTGGTGGTGTCAGGGGGACACTGGTCCTCCAGCTTCCCACAAACTGCTGTCTCTGGCCCTGGTGCTGGGCTCCAAGGAAGGATGCCAAGGGCTACAGACACAGCCACTGGGACATCAGGCACAGCAGCCTGTGGTAGAGGTTAGAAGGCAGAGCAAAAACAGCTTAATTAATGGCATGGGAATATTTTCTGACATGAGAATTTTGTGGGGATGAGTTCATCCTAAATGCTAAAAGAAATCTAAAGAGATTGTTCCCCTTTTTCTGCTCAGGGTTATACAACACATTTCTTCTCTGCTTTTGCTTTCACTTACACCTTAAGTCTCTGTTCTCCTTTTATATTCATAAACTAAACAAATTACACGTTGCATTTCATGTCAGTTGTTGCTTAGCATATGCCACATGCTGAGGGAAATTTTTCTCTTCCCACTGTGTGACATGGATACAAATCTAAACATCCATTTAGTATAGCTGTATAAACCACTGGTGAGTTTGTTTCAGGTGGGAAGAAATCACATCCCAAAATATTCACATTTCCCACAGGGCAGAGCTTGCCTTGAACTGTCAGCACTCAGCAAAGGGATGGAAGCTGCCATACTCCCAGCTGTCCCCAGTCATGAACCGTGGCCAGAGAGGATGACATGATTGTTGGCTCCCTTCACCTGGAAAGCACCAGGTCCCCACAAGGGACACCCTGCACCAAGGGTAAAACTAGACCATCTCCCTGCATCCCTTTCCTGCACCTCACAGTTCAGGCAATACACCAGACCAGGGCTGGTGCACACAGATGTACAATGCACATTAGCACACACACTCCATCGGGGATGAGTTATACACCACTGTCCTACAGCCTCTCCTGGACTGACTTACAATTGAATGTCCTAGTGATCTCAGTTCTTTAGCCTACCCAAGTCGACCCTAGTCAGCAGTGACTTGTTATCACCTCTTTTTTTTTTGGCTGCAGGAAAAATTTGAAAATCAGCCTGTACTTTTATCACCTTTTTTTTTTTTGGCTGTAGGAAAAATTTGAAAATCAGCCTGTACTTTCAGTGAAAACCAGAAAGAAACAAGTAATAAATAACCACAATTAAACACCTTCCAAAACAAGTTAGAAAACAGATCTTTTTATTTGGAACAAAATCATTGCGGGGAAAAGAAAAAAAACGACACCATGTTGGGCACAAACATGGACAGTTAAAGGAAGAGCACAGGCTGCACCACTTCTCTCCTGACCACACAGTAGCAGAAACTTCTGCTCTGTTGCTGAACAGCATCCTCAGTGGGAAAGGAAAAAGCTGTGTTCTGCCTGCCTCATAAAGACCTCTCGCATCTCAGACTCCCACCTTAATGGGAAAATCCTTCCCAGACTGGGGCTACACCAGTGGTGGTGTTAACAACTGCCAGGGCACTCCCAGCCCTCCCAGGGCTGATAGCAGCAAGGCAGCACTAGGGCAAGCTGGAGCCTCCAGCAGGGCAAGGTTGGCCCAGCTCTCTCACCCTCAGCACCTAAACGCTGCCTTCTTCCCCAGTGCAGCTCAGAGCACCCTTCAGCCTCTGAAGCATGTGCTGGAGTCGACTGTCCCCTGTCTGCCCCTGCTGAAAGTGCAGAAGTGAAGCAAAGCTGACTATGTCCCCCCGTTTCGGTGACACTGGCCCAGTGTTGCTGTTCACCCCGTGTCACTGCTACTGTGCTGCCTACAGGCAGTTGTCACCCGGAGCACTCCATGTCACATTTTTGTAATTCAACTCACAGGCTTTGAGGAATGTTTGTACTGAAAGGAGATAGCACAGCACCGTAAGGAAAAGAATTATCATCTCACCCTCACCGAGGAAAACCTGATTCCTATGGCAGCCTTAAAAAGCAGAGACAGGCTGAATCACCATCAACACGGCACACAATACTCAAAAATCTTCTAAAGAGAGTCACAATACAAGGAAACAACAACAACCACCTATGGCTGGGTGTCACTGATGCAGAGCCTTGACACATGCACAGAGATGAAGGGCTCCCAGGTAAGCATGCAGCCACCCCATCAACTCCCGTGCCTGGGAGAAAAGCATTCAGTCCAGTCTGGATTTTGCTGGGGTACTCACAGGCCTCATTTTTACAAGGCATATCTTAAATCCGTTTTCAAGGGATTCATGGCACAATGTCAGCACAATTCAAAACAGGGACAAAATGACAAGGGAAGAGAGGAATGCAATACACATCCCTTTTGGTCCAAATCTGTACCATCTCTGCTCTTACTCTGCCGTGCCTTCCTACCCCACTGGGCTAGTTTAACACCAACATGCCTCACTTCTGACTACCAAAATTGCCTTACACAGTAAATACCTTGTTCTGACAGTGCATCCTGCAGCACTCCCTGCAGCCTGACAGCCCTGCAGCTCCTGGCAGCTTTGCCAGGGACTCAGCTACCTGCTGCCTGGGACAGAGTCCTTGCCCTCTCCTTACCTCATCCTTTTTCCCTGCAGGTTTACCCCAGCTGCTCCACACACAAACCTCTCCTGAGAAGAACAGCATGCACATAGCAGTGAGACTTGCCTAAGAGATTCTATAAATTGCTGCGGTCTGTGCAAATAGCACAGCACTGAGCAAGCCTACATGCACAAGCAGATGGCCAAATTCATCAGCTTGCAGTAGCTAAACCATTACACTCAAGGCACTAATGCTTGCACTGGTGAACGATCTCAGCATTATAATCAACTTTTCTGCCAAAATTGCACACCCAAGCCCCAGGCACCCTTCTGCTGCAGGCAAGCAAGCTAATGATGGCACTAGTTTAGCTCATTGGCAACCCAAGCAGTTAGGTTCTGGCAAAAGGTAACTGGTACCCTCTGCCACTGCAGGGCACCAAAAGGTGAGCAAGTAAGTCAGCATCACCCCCTGGGGTCTACACACAGCAGCTCCCACCACTACTCCTGGCCACAGGCAGCAAGTGGTGAGGGCCAAACCACAGAGGGTCTGGAGCTCAGAGGAGCAATTCAGATAAACACCCGGCACAGCAGATACCTAGCTCAAACCTACATTGGTTTTCTTTTGCAGAGCCTGTGAAACAATGCCTTGAAATCTCCCAAGAAGAGACTTTCTCAGGAAGTTTCTGGCAGGTCCTTGGTTTCTGTCTGAGATGGGCAGGCCACCTCGATCTGCCTGTCATGCATGCCCCTGGCTGGCAAAGACATGGCAAGGCATGGGGTGGGCAGGGAGCAGGAGGGACCATCTGTCTCATTTCAGGCTGTCCCATGGGGCTCTGCAGTTTTGCTGCAGTCCTGTTAACAGGCAAAGCATCAAACAGCTGCCCAGTTTTGTTCATTAGTGAACCTGGCAGCCCATGGCAGTGTGGCCTCGAAGCCACGTGTGTGCTTTTCCTTATATTTTCTGTTTTTCTTTTTAAATGAGGTTAGAAGGTTTGACACCTCACATCTTTTCCCTGCTAAAAATATTCCAGACTGATTCTTACACACAATGAGACTATGGGATGCAAAGGACAAATGGCATAGACTTCAGGACAGGGTGGAAGAGCAAGCCTGACAGATCAGTCATCAGTTGGATCTGGAAAACAGTCTGAGGCATCTTCCTGGCTTTCCACATCAACTATGACCTCAGGGTCTGGCATTTCCGCAGGTTCCATTGGCCCTGGTAAGTTTTCTTGAGGCAGTGGCTGGGGCTCAACACCTTGACCAGCCTGGGCAGCATCTGGAAAAGGGAGAAATGGTTTATAAATGCCCTCACCATGGCTTACCCTCATGGAAATCCTCCCTCTGGTCCCTAATGCTGCAGGCTGCCTGACCCACTCAGTCCCCTTGCCCCAGGCATCTGCAAACCAACTTTCAGTTCTCTTTGTAACTGCTCATTTACCGAGCTATCCATTGTGGCTTTAGACACTTTGGTGCTGGTGCTCTCTGGCCACTTAGTACCAAAGTACTTATAGTACTTATAGTTCCAAACATTTAGTACACAAATACTAAAGCCAAATCTATTCACTTACATCTGAGGAATTAAAGCTGGCTAACAGCACACATTTACTATGTTCTCTCCTAGTTTCCACAGGCATCCCTGCTTTTTACTTAATTGTAAAAAATTTAACTATGAGCTACTTTTTTAGTCAAACTGACAGTGGGTAAATTTTGTATTAGAAGTTCTACACTTGAAGTATATTAATATTAAAGAATGACCTGAAAGACATTTTGGTTTTCTTGCTTGCTCTTTGCTCACGAGTAGCATTTAATATTTTGAAAGCAGAGCAAAGCAGGATCCAAGGTTAGACATATAGCATAGCTGAGCTGCAGGAGGCTATGCGTGGTACAGGGAAACACATCAGGAGTGGAGACAGCAGTGCTAAGACCAGGCCATGACCTATGTGATGTTGCTCCAGTTCATGATGTCTCTGCTAAACCTACTTCAGCTGATGATGGTGCATTACTAGGGAAGGTATTGTCAGCATTCACGTTTGTCAAACAAAACTGAGGGAAACATAATGCAAAAAGTGGAGTATTAATATCAAGCAGCTACAGAACAGGAGATTTCTGAAGGGGTTTTATCACTGCCTGTATTTTATCACTGACCATACTGTACTAAAGCTGGGGGGGTTTATGCTCAGTTTCTTTGAAGAATTTAAAGTGTGACTGTATTCCCACTTTAGCCTCAATTTAAGGAAATACACAAGCCTCTGGCTTTGATGGGATTTAGCTGTGTTTACAGCTCAGCATATTGCTACATGCTGTCCTGAAGATAACTGCTCACAAAACCAAAACTGATTTTATAAAACGTTACTAATGTGAAGGGGAGGGAGGATGATAAAATTGCAGGAGAACTGCTAAGTTTTGGGGGGTTGCTGGTTTTGAGGTATTTTAGCACAGGAGATACTGGAACAGATGGTCTGCTGGCAGTACCCTCTGTGGGATGTTTATGGCATGGCTCCTGCTACATCTCAGGGCTGGGTGAGGGTGAGAGTTACGCCTGTGCAGAGGCTGAGCACGAGTAAGGTTCTGATAAGTGACCTGCTGCACCTTCTGTCATCTGAACAAGAAGCACGAGTGCTGATAAGGGACTTGCTGCACCTTCTGTCATCTGAACAAGATACAGCACCTTCCCTCTGCTAGCATGTCCCAGGCACCTCTCTACAGTCACCTCCACCCCCATCAGCCACGCACATACTTTGTGTCCTTTATCCTCCTAAGCAAAGTATCTGTCTGACTTCAAACAAATCGCTGAACTCACCAGGCTTTGGAGTGCAGGGCTGATAAGGGACTTGCTGCACCTTCTGTCATCTGAACAAGATACAGCACCTTCCCTCTGCTAGCATGTCCCAGGCACCTCTCTACAGTCACCTCCACCCCCATCAGCCACGCACATACTTTGTGTCCTTTATCCTCCTAAGCAAAGTATCTGTCTGACTTCAAACAAATCGCTGAACTCACCAGGCTTTGGAGTGCAGGCAGTCTGGGCAGCTTGAGCCTCGACATGGTCTCCATTGGGGGGGCTCTTCACACCTTCACTGGAGACCACTGACATTGTTAGTCCATCATCCTTCTCCTCCTCTGTAAAACCAAAAGTGGAGACTTCAAGGGAAGAGCCCCCCCCACATTTCCCCAGCCTCAGTAGGTCCATTGCAAGGCCAGACCAACAACATGTGTTTGCATCTCCTCCTCACATGGCACTGGCTCCATTCCCAGAGCAGACAGATGCTGAGTACAGAGGGCCATTGCTGACCTGTCAGAGACCAGGTTGGTCATGCTGGCAGGATCACAGCTTGAGGTGGCCTCACAGGGCATGAGCAGATTGCACTCAGGGACTGGTGCTGACAGAGGACTGCCATCAGAAACCTTCAGGTCATTTCAGGATCAGACCTGAATAAGGTTCAATTTTTCTGCCCAGAAAAAAGGTTTTGCTGCGGGTTTTTTCTGGCCAGGAGCACGTGGTGCAAAGTGTGCAGTGAAAAAAAAGTAAAAATAAGTTTTTATTCAAAATCCCACTGGCCATAATAGTCGCCTATCATCAAGCAGCTTTCTGATCCACTAGGTCAAAGGAGGGCTGGCTGGAGAACAAGAAGCCACTCAGCTGCGATGAGTTTATTCTGAGGCCATGTCAACCCCAGCCTGCACACAGTCCTCTCTGAGACTCATCCCAAGGGGGTCACAGCATTCTCCACTCACCTGAAGGTACCGGGATGAACTTGTGTTTCCTCTTTAAGCAGCAACATATGACTGAGGACACAAACACCACCAGGATAATTGCACCCCCTGCACACCCCGCCAGGATGTAAATGAACCATGGGTACTGCAGCAGGTCTCCTGCAAGAAGGACACAGCAATATTAGGCACCAGTGTGGAGAAGCTTCTTTCTCCCAGTGGGAGAAACCCTGCATCCAGATTAGAGCACATAGACATCACTGTTGCTTTGGTTTGGAACAGGGAAGCTGATACAGTGAAGTGTGGCACTGCCATTGTTTAATCATTGTATGGAATTTTTCATTAAGAGAAGAGGCTTGAGTGACTAAGCTGTGTGCATTTGTTTCTGCCTGCTTTGACCAATAACATCTAAAATAAATCTGATTAAAACTTCACATAATAACAGGGGAAGTGGTGGCTTGAAAGATGCCACATTTCAACAAGTGTTATGAAAACAGGCAGCTGAGACCAGGAGGGAGATCTAAAGAAGCATCTCCTGCTGAAACAGAAGCTGCAGAGTCCACCCTCAAAGCCCCAGAGAATCCATTTAGGACAGCCATGTAACAACTACACCAACCTCAGAGCAAGTCTGATCAGAGCCTGGACTTCCTTAGACACCAAGGACTGCAGCCACCCAAGCCAGGGCTGTAGGAAACCAACTTCACTGCTGCTTGGGGAAGGATTTCTCTCTGTTCCCCTGCCCAGCTGAGATCATGCGAGACACCTAGCAGGAGGCGAAGGCTGCAGATGGCTGAGCAGAAGGCCACACACAAGTCAGCAGTAATTATTACCCAGCTCAGCGTCCCTTGCTCAGGGTTGTTTCGACAGGTCAGAGCTGAAGGGAAGCTGCCGCTGAGCAGGGAAGCTGGTAGAGGGCATCATAGACTTGCAGAACAGAGAAACTATCCAGACCTGCTCCTTCACAGAGAAAATTTGCTCCAAACTGGGTCAGCCAGTAGGAAAATTCTTCTTCCCATATGGAAAAAACCCATACAACTCCACTATCACTATGATATCAGTTCCTTAAAACTCCTGAGGAAACCCTCATTCTGAGTAATTCAGCTGCTTTTCAGCTGCACACACACCAGCACAGCCCTGCACTGCAGCAACCAACGGGCTCATTTGGAGCTCATTTTCAAGCCCTCACAAGCACAAATTGCTCCTTATCTCCAGAGGCTGGGAAGGATTTCAAATGTTCCAGGACATACTACACCCTGTCACCAGGACAGTAAAAACAACTGCACACAGCAGCTCCTGTGTGTGAAATCACACATACTCATGGTATTTTCAGAGAGCTTGTACCAGCCTCTTTAGGAACAGTTACCAAGTTAAAAAAAGCTATATTCAAAATTAAACTTTCAGTAAATCAGAAATAATTTCCCTAAGAATTTTATTTCCTTTTTGATGAAAACTTAGAGAATATTGTTAAAGACACAAATATAAGTTGGAATTTTTTTCTGATGTTTTTTCCTAAAAATTTTCCATTCATCAAAAAGGTCTTTTTGAGATAAAATATTGTGTTAAAAATCAGCAATAAACAAGTAATGAATCAATAAAAGTCTTTTATATATGTAGACTTGTTAATGTCTGAATCCTCTGCTTTATATCCTGTGTGTTCAGAGCCTTTTGGTGCCTGGAAAGTTTATAGCATTTCTGCCAAATTGTTTTACAGTAACAATTATTCAAAATTAATTTCACCAGCCAACAGGTTGCCCAAATAGTGCTTTTACATACATCTTCTACCTACAGTGGAAAAAGAATAATCAGCTCTTTGCCTGGAGCAAATAATAACCCACACAAATAATGACTTTGTCATTACTTAATTTAAATGAACGTGTTCCTCTCTTCAATTCATTTTACTAGTATTCAGATTGCTTTAGTTCACTTTTTACAAAAGTGGTTGCATTTATTGACTAAAAAGTAGAATTGCTGCCACTTTCTTTCAGACCCTTCGAAATACGTGTTCATGTGCATGTCCATCCCAACAGAGCTATCACTAAATTCCCTTGTGGACTTTTTGAGAGGAAACAAAGAACCAATATTGCACCCAGGGAACTGGGCAGCCACCCAGAATCAATGATGGTAACTGTCAGCACTTGAGTGATTTACCACAGGGCCTGAGTGAACAGCTCATGGATGTTCACATCCTCGTTTCCCAGTCCCTCAGCCAACTTGGGTCTGGCTATGTTGAAGAGCCTCCAACCAATTTAACTGGACAAAATTAAGATCACTGCTCCACAACCACAAATGCCAGGCTTTCAGAGGCTGGCCAGCAGTGCCAGTGTGACCAGACATGAACAGTCCATGGCACTTCTGCCAAATGCTAGCACACTGGATACAGGGTTTAGGTCAGCAAGTTTGCTTTCACACCAACTGTATGCCAACCACAAAAAACAAGAATCTGCCGTGGAGCTGGAGTGTCTCAGACACTTTCTAAAATGCTAGGTGCTATTACACAGTACAATTTCTCTAGCAGCAAAGGTGATTAAATTAATTATAGCTAAATTAGTTGAAAAGCTTATGGTTAAATTATGCATGTAGTTCTGATGTAGCTTTGATAACCATCTTTGCTGTCAGAGAGCAGAAAAACCTTGCTACTGGAGGTGCAAATGAAATTATACCCAAAGATCCAGATTTTCTGTCTCATTAAACTATGGCCTCAATCAAGCAGAATACTCAGCATTTATGAATAGTTTGCACATGGATAAAGTCCCAGCAATATATCTGAGTAGGGACATGGAAAGTAAAAAAGCCTATATTCCACAAGTAAATGACTTGTGTCTTTACCCACTTCTGATGGCATGGGTCTGATGGAGAGATATTTGTATAGACTGGTAAATCTTTGTGCTTCTGGCCTAGATAAGAAGAAAAGAGATGAGGCAAAACACCTCAGCTGAGTTCAGCAGCAACAAGGCTGAACTAGCAGGGGTGTTTTTACAGGGATGCACAGAACCTGGAAGCCTGTCTGGGTTATGGACAAATGTCAGAGTAGGAAGCAGCTTGTGTTTCTAAACTAGCATAGAGGGTTGGTGCACAGGGGGGTCTACATCACTGAGAGTAGGAAGCAGCTTGTGTTTTTAAACTAGCATAGAGGATTGGTGCACAGGGGGGTCTACATCACTGGGAATCAGGAAAACAGAGATTCATCTTTGCTGCAGAGTTTGGTAAAAGTACCTCCTGAACAGACTTTCCCATCTGTGGTTATAGGCTATGTCAGTTCAAGACACAGGAGTGAGAAGGAAATCAAGAGGTCACTTTCTAAAGGGACGCTGTGGTAAGTCTGGAAGGCAGCTGCCAGAGGACAGAAGAGTTCAGTATTTTGAGGACACCAGCAACTCTGCTGCTGAAAAAGACCAAGAGGAAGATTTTCTGAAGATGCCATTACTTACCATAGCTGCAAGACAGCGCGATGGGCCTGGTCTTTGTGACACTGTGTCCATAGGAAACCACACATACAAATTGCCCAGGCACCGTTTCGGGCCTGGTCTTCGTGACACTGTGTCCATAGGAAACAACACATACAAATTGCCCAGGCACCGTTTTTTCCAGGAGAACCTTCCTCCCACCATCCTTAACGCAAGACTCAGGGACACTCAGCGCGGTGCCATTCAGCAGCCAGTGAAAGCTCACGCTCTTATTGCTGGTTGCATTGCAGAACAACTCTCCAGTCCCATTAGGGAAGCACTGGATACCAATGGTTGGCTCTGGTCACACAGAATGGGGCAATGGGAATGGGAAGGAAAGAGAGAGGTTAGGAGCAGACTCAGCAGTAAATACAAGCTGGACAGAAGCTTCTCTTACCAGCAATCTCACTACCACCACATCTTCTGGTATCAAGGGAGCACAGAAATAAATAACCAGACTCTTCAGTGCCTGCACTCCACCCTGAAATGCTTAACCGTGCCCACCCCAACCCCACTAGTGAGTCATGGTCCCTATTTTGGGGATGCCACAAAAATCTGGCAGCTCTTCATTTTCTTTACTGTCATTGTAAAACAAACAAACAAAACCAAACAAACAAAAACCCAAACCAACACAAACAAAAGAAAAAGGAAAAGGGAAAGAAAAAGAAAAAAGAAAAAGAAAAAGAAAAAGAAAAAGAAAAAGAAAAAGAAAAAGAAAAAGAAAAAGAAAAAGAAAAAGAAAAAGAAAAGAAAAAAGAAAAAGAAAAAGAAAAAGAAAAAGAAAAAGAAAAAGAAAAAGAAAAAGAAAAAGAAAAAGAAAAAGAAAAAGAAAAAGAAAAAGAAAAAGAAAAAGAAAAAGAAAAAGAAAAAGAAAAAGAAAAAGAAAAAGAAAAAGAAAAAGAAAAAGAAAAAGAAAAAGAAAAAGAAAAAGAAAAAGAAAAAGAAAAAGAAAAAGAAAAAGAAAAAGAAAAAGAAAAAGAAAAAGAAAAAGAAAAAGAAAAAGAAAAAGAAAAAGAAAAAGAAAAAGAAAAAGAAAAAGAAAAAGAAAAAAGAAAAACCACCCCTGATCTGAGAGGATGGTGGAAACATTCAAAGCACCTGCCAGCCAGAAGCTTCCTCTGTAATGCTCTCTGAGGCACCAGAAGCTTACAAAGCTGTTTCCAGAGGCACCTGTAACTCCTGACAACTCAAGCAGTCTCTTAGGAAGAATTTCAAGGCACCAGCTTCCAGTCAGGCTCACAAGTTCAGAAGTTATTTGTTGCTAAGAAGGCCACTTACCAAATACTTCTGGTGTAAAAGTTCTGGTGCTGTTGTAAAAAACAAATTCATATTTTCCTTCGTCCTGTTTATCCACAGCCCTCAGCACTAGGGAGTCATTCTTCAAGTTCAGACATTCACCAGCAGAAGTGCTGAACTTGGCAACCAAAGTATCATTTAAGACTTCTGTCAAGCATGTTATGTCTTTCCTCCTCATTTCAGAGACATTCTGCAGGCTCTGGATTCCCACAGAAAAGACTGCTGAGCTACCACTGAGCACGCCGGTCCAGGTGTTAGAGCCTGAAAGGAGAAGCACAGAGCACAGGCAGCAAGCCTGCCATGTCCATCCATCCCCTCTCGGCTGCCTCCCAGAAAGGCAAATGCTGAGGTGAGATGTAAGAGGGACAGACCCAACCCTAAGGAAAGGTTGGATCACCAGTGATTGAAAATCAGAGGAGTGGGAAGCCTTCTACAAGAGTCAACTTCCCCCCACCTCTAACACAGGAGTGGTGTGCACACCATGTGAATGGGGAAACAAAAGGCTGAACAAGTCTTTTCTCTCCCCAAATTTAACATGACCAGCTACCAGCCCTCACCAGAGCTGTGCAGAGACTTTCCAAAGATCCTCAGGGCACTAATGCCATGGATCTTGTAGAGCGTAGCAGAAACAACAGCTGCCTGCACAACTGCTTTTACCCCAAGAGTAAGGTCGCGGTTTTAACTTGAGCAAGTCTTGGAGTAGCCTTGCACATTATTAAGCTCCTGTATGCAACTTAAAAATCAGAAGATGGGTAAATGGCAAGGTGACAGCAGCTCAGGGACTAACCCAAGGTCACACCAAGAACTAGGAGCAGGACCACATTGCCCTCCAGCCAGCACTCTGCATACAAGGACCTTACATTCTCCGCTGAAATGCTTTTACAGATGCAGTACATTCAGAAAGTACAATACTGTTAGTTATCATTCTTTTACTAAAAAAATAATCTATCTTACTTTGATCTGACTGTCCCTTTCATGCATTAGCAGTTACACTATTTGATGTCTCCCCAAATCTGGTAGAGTCCTTAAAAGATCCTGGAGCAAAATTCAGATGTCTGCTCATCTAGGCAAATCTGTGCCAACTCCATAAAGAAAAATCCCACTTACCATGAGTAACAGTTATTATCACCAGAAAGCACTGCAGAGTAAAAGAAGAGCTGAAATCCATTTTAAAGAGCTCCTTGCATCATATGCTGAGAAGACGATCTGGCTACAGAGCTCGGTGAATATAGTGTTCGGGAAGTGATGTCAGAAGCAAGAATAAAAAAAAAAAAAAGAAAAGAAACTCCATAGTGGACAGATTGAAAGATGTTTCAAAATAGACCTGCAAGGTTTTGGGTGACTGAACTCAGGCTGAACCAACGCAAGCCACAATGTGCTCTGCAAAGTCCCGCGGCTTGGAGATAGCTGCGCATGTAAGAATAGGGCTGAGAGGTGCGGGGATAAAAATACCTCCTGGTCAGCTCACCCCATTTATGAAGATGCTAATGCCAAGACAAGCAAAGGCGAAACAGCTATTTCTTTCACCCTTTTCTAGCTTATCAAAGCACAGCATCCTCACCCAGGGAAGAGAAATCAGTCCAGACAGATAAAGCACTGTACATGCAGACCAGCTGATTTTTTGAAATACTAGCAATGATCATTCCTGGAGAGTCTCACCAGCAGGAAGGAGGTGTGAAACCAGGCTCTCCCTCTGTTCCCAAAGGCTATGTTGCCAGCCTGAACTCTGTCAGGCTCCTCTAGTGAGCAAATGGTACCTGCTATGCAGGAAAGGGCTCCATACAGCCACTCCAGGCAAAGAATAAAGGTTATGAAAAGTCAAGCAGCACTGCAAAACTAAACTGAATGCATCCAAAAGCCACCCCAGAGACAAGACTGAAAATCCTGAAGACTCACTGTGAACCAGTTATCTACAGGGCCACATAGGGACAGAGACTTTGTTCTCACTTTTTGAGATGGCTTAAAGCACATTGGGGTGTTGCACTGAGTGCTGAGGTGACTTACAAAAGCAACACGGCAGAAACTATCTTGCTCACAGAGGGAAGTAAACCAGCATAGCATTGGAGCCAACACCTGGATCTTTTTAGATGCTCTCAGCAGATGTGCTGGAGAGTAACTACAACAGCAGTTCGGGATGCAGCTGGGAACCTTATACCTTTGTGTTGTTTCACTGGACACAGATATAGACACAGCCCATTAAGGAAGCTCCACATGGTGGAATCATGTGTACACGCACGTTTCTGAGAAATGGGTAAACCCCTTGTGTTGTGGTCTGCACTATTTTTCAAACAATTTGGATATGCTTGATAGATTCCACATTTCAGCCACCGGTTTGGCCCCTCTTACCTCTTATCAATGAAAATCCCATCTCGTCTCCTGCTTCCAGTGTCTCAAACTTACAAGTTTGTTCAAGGCTATCACTGCAACATCCTGTCTTTATCATATGTGCATAGGACTGGCCTAAATTGATCTAAGATGAGACTGAAATAGACTTTTCTGAGAAAAGCAGTGAAGTGAGTCTTCAGACATTCACAGCAGTGCAGAGGAAGGGGGAGAGAAAAAAGTATTTACAGCAAGAAACACTTTCATTTCCTTCTGTGCTGCTGAAATAACATGAAGAAAATCTCTCTCAAATACCACTGCAAGACTGGGGCTAACCATCTGCCTTGGATGCGCACATTCAACTTCATTTCACCTTCATGCTTGAAGGGCAAGCTGGTAGAGCTTAGGGTTGCAGTGCTGTAGTGGAGACATGAGACAGAGCAGACAGAATGTGCAGGGTTGCTTCAAAATAGCACCCCAAAATGTTCAGAATCTCAGAAGAACACCAATATGCAAAAGGGGTCTGCATACAGGCTAATCCAGCAAAAGTTCACCTTCTCCTCTGGCCAGTGATAACTGCCTCACAGAGCTCATCTACAGATTTGCAGTAAAATCCAGGAAAAATGCAGCCTTTCTACTGTAGCTGTTGTTACAGAAGTGACTCTGCATGACTGTGACATTGCAGTGTCCTGTATTTAGTCTCTCTCAGTGACTCCAGGGCAAATGAGTACATTTATGAGTTCAATATTTCTGACTGCAAGTGCCCCATACATCACGCAGTATATGAAGTCCCATTAGGTTTCTTCTGTCCCTCACATCCTCACTAGCTAAAAAAAAAAAAAAAAAGGAATCACAGCCAAGATAAAGATGACAGCACACACACAATCTGCGTTGTCATCAATCAGCAGCCTCCTTTTAAGAGCAACCCTCTCAAATTTCACATATAATGGAATTTTTAGATGAGATTAGAGGCTAATTTCTAGCATTGGCTAATAAATGCTTACAACACCCTTGGCTAGCCAGAGAGTTCACTTCCCTTTTTTGTATAAAGACAGAGTTTTTTTGGATTACTGCAGACAAAAAACACCTTGTAAAACTGAACAGATACCACAAGTACAAAAAAGGGGGAAAAAGAAAAATCAAATTTAAAAAAAACCCAAGAACTTGCAGTTGGAAGGTGAACTAAAATCTTTTTTACTTGGTGAGCTGCAAGCTCACAAGGCCATTTTGCCCTTTCAGCCTAAAGGCATGATGAAAGGAGAATGGAGATTCATTCCTTACATGACATGAGGCATTGATGGAGCATGGCAGATTGGAAAACCTGAGCTAGCAAGGAAAGCAGGAAATAACCCAAGAAGTATTACCAAGAAACCTGTACATACCATCTCTGCACACACTCTTTTCCATAGGCTGGTAAGCATGAGCAGCACACCTATTTTTTACTGTCATTAATGTACATCAGTCTTCACTGAGGAAACACACAAGCCCATCTTCACTTGGGGGGAGCCAGCAGAGCTAAATGCCAGAAACCCAACACGTGGAAACAGGAAATAAGCCTGTGGCTCCTGCAATGCACATCTGCAGTCTGCACTTCTGTCCATGCATCCCCTGTGATGAAGCAGCATGGCCATGGCTGCACCACAGGTTACCAGGGCAGGTACAACCAGGACAGGACAGCACTGGGTGAGGGAGAGGTTTGCAGACATGTAGTCTCACCTGCCCATCCATACCTATTCATGCACGAGACATTTTCTTTAAAAGAGGCTTTGAGAGTGGCTCTGAGGTGAGTTTCACGGTGCAGCCACAAGGCAGGAATGGCTGGCACACCTGAGATGCTTCTATGTGGGTCAGCAGGACCCCAGAGACTGATGAAGATTCATATTCATATGAATTTTTTCTTTGTTAAATGAAACTCGCCAGAGAGCTGTGCTTGAACTCTGAACTCTTTCTTGATCAAATAGTGATAGCAAGCAAAGAAATAGCAAACGCTAATGTCAGAGCCTCAACTACAAATATTGCCTCTGTGATAGGGATATTTAAAGCAACCCACAAATTACAAAAACGAGATCGCAGAAATGTGCTGAGGTCAGGAACTGCTACAGAAGGGCTCTGGGCCTGATTACGGACAAGGTACATGTGGTTTTCTCCAGCTTGTAGTACCTCTGGGAGAGGTACAGTCCAACACTTGCAAGAGTCAGGGCCAGGAGTTCTGGGATGCCTCCATGGGCACTGTCAGATCTCCAGAGGCAGGGATCAATGGGAACACTTTCTCTTCTTCAGAGCATCCATGGAATTTTCAGCTTTCTCTTGCCAAGAGATGTCCAAGATACTGCAAACACAGATGAAGACCTTGTTGTTTTGGGGGCTGATAAAAGAAAATCCTGTGCAGATACCTGCTCTGATGCACAAAGACAAACCTGGGAGACTGCACTGCAGCAGGTCTGCTGCACCTCAGGCATCTCTCTGGTGAGGGACACATCTCTGGTTCTTGTTTCACACTTCCTGCCACAACCTTTGCTTTTGCTATTTGTTGCTGAGGTTATTTGGGACCCAGAGAACCAGATGCTGTTGTTCTGACTAAACGGTACAGTTCAAGTAGCAGTGTGTGTCATGGAGGATCCTGAAGGGACAGAGAAGATGATGAGACACTGCATAGTACCCAGAAGCAAACAGGGGATCTAGTCTGCAGAAGACCTCTGCTCAAAGTAACCCAAGTAGAAAAACTCACAGTAGCACCTTAATTTCATGCACATGGTGCCCATCTGTCTCATACACTAGGAGAGCCCATCTCTTTGCTGCCCTGTAATGCACAGCAGAGCAGTCCCATGCCTTAAGGATACATAAATGACAAGCTGGAGAGAAGTCTTCTTCAGTTCCTATTTCCGACAAGTTAAAATTTTTGTCACATATCCCATAATTCATACACAAGCTCCTCTCTCCCAGCTCTCTCTCAAATGCTAAACAAGACCAACTAGGATTTCAGCAGTTAATTTAGACTTCTGCTCATTAACAAGCTGTTCTCACCCTTAGGACTTTTCTTCTTGCCGTACCTGTGGGTGCTTCTCATTCCGCCCCGCAGCACCAGACAGTTCAGGGTGAAAGTCATGAATTCACCCCAACTCCACTACCACTGAGCAGCTGTTGGAGGAGAGACACAGGCAGCTCCACAAAAGAAACAGAGACATGGAGCAGATGCTGTGCTATGTTGCCATCTCATCTTGGCACTCACTGCCCACCTCACTGCCCGGTGAGACAAACAAGAACATAAGGATCCTAGCAGTCATGGTCAAGCATACAGAGCATAGTTTCTCTGACATGGCTCTCCTAATTTGGCCCAGGATGACAAGAGAAAAACAAGAGCCCATGTAAGGAATAACTGCTAGAAACTACACGATTTATATTTAGCACTGCTGTGTGCAGGGTAAAATGCTCTGCATTTGCTTGAATAAAAACCAAACACCTTATTATTGCAGAGCTATTCAGACATATGGGTTCAGTCATGCTATACCAAGAACAAAGCTTCAAAGCTTAAGAGAAAGACCACATCAAGGACAGCACACACAGCATCACAGTCTATAGGCTTTGGCCAGTTTGGCTAGAGTTGGAGGAAAATCTGTTTCTGTGAATGGACAACACTAGGAAGGCAAGTTAGGATACAACCTGCCACGGGTTGGTACAGGTCAACTGTGCTTTTCTGCTTTCATCTCTAATGAATTATTCTGATGGATTTCAGCTCCCAGTCAGTTTCATTTGGGTCTTGCTCAGAGGCTGCTACCATGTAACTGCCACCAGTGTGCCCAGTTCGCTGTCCTTGGCCTAGCATGACAAAAATCAGACAAAAGTGTA